TTCACGGATGGATCCTTTTTAGTTTGGTCAGAAGAAGCTAGACGGTGAACCATTTTATTTATATCCTTGTGGAAAGATCCCAAATTAATGTGTTATTTCTGGTTATCACACTAACCAAGCGGACTAAAATGGGTCAGATTTCACACCATATATCGTCATCACCGTGTAATAAATATGCATATATCATCATATCATACCCTACTTATCACATTAACAAATTTTAGCCCATTGTAGTATTCCAAATTCTATGCCATTTCGGGTACTTGCATCGCATTCAGCTGCAAATGCAGCAACCAAGTAAGTAAAACGTAAACTGTTTGTGCATGAAATAATGAAATGTCACTCGGTTTTCTAAAACTCAAGCCTCTATAACGGATTCGGCTCGGCTCATCACTTGACGCCCTTGCTGATAACTCCTCTGCCAAGCCAATCTGGTCAACAAAACATCATCCCAACTTCTTATTCTCACTACGAGGAAAACCACAACAATAACAAACATGTAATGAGAAAGACGTGATTCATTTTGAAATTCAATATCAAATGTGTGCGACTGGGAGAGTTTTTCTTCTTCTGCTTCATAACGACGACGAAGCCCGTTTACAAAATCAATTTCCATACAATCACGAACTTCTCACTCGGCACACCAGCAGCCTCGAGCAAAGTCACACATTAAACAGTTAAATTTTACATCTTATAGGGAAGCAGGGAAAAGGTTAAACTTTGCAAAACACGACATGAATTCGGCACCAGGATGACATTGACAATCAAAAAACTGGTCACAACAAGGAAGGATAATATCTATCAAGACGATGTGCTGGGAGGAAAAATCATAATCAGACCACATTTTCAGGCCCATTGCAATTTCACGTTCAACGTTTATTTTGTTTTATTTTGTCGAACGGGGAAGGACGATTTTGGAGCAGGGGAAAAAATACAGTTGGAGTAAAACGATGCTTATTAAAGGTAATTTACAAGCGGGCGACAGTGATTATGAAATGAAGATTTATGAAGAAGGCGTGGGATAGCTTTAAAATAAAATCTCAGTCCTATGTACCACTATCATCCACACCGAGTTAAACCATCACATCGCCAGCCAGCCACCAAGTTTAAAACTAATGACACTGAAACAATGAGATGCACAAATTTCCAATGAATCGCAGCCGCAAGTAATTTCGTCGTCTCATCATCTCATCTTATCTCATTTAACAACGTGAAAAAAGCTTGAAAGCGTTGCTGCAGAGTTCGTTGAATTAAAATGGTTTTCATGAGACGACGACGACTCAAAAGATTGCAAGCAGAGTATGATGCTGATAACCCCCTGCGCATGGGATAGCAAATTTTGGGGATAATTCTCTCTGTGTGCGTGCGTACAAAGCTATAAATGTGTTAAGAATTAAGTGACTGTTACTTTTAAATTTGAATTATTTCATGCATTAATTATCTCTTCTTTTACATACATGCTCTTCCATCATGCTCACATGCGGATTTCATTCAACAATGAGCGAGCATGAAAGTTTTTCTAGCGTCATAAGTAAGTAGATATTTCTGTGTTGTGGATATTCTACTTTTTCATGATAACAATATATTTTCCAACGTGAATTTCCTTAATTTGCAGTAACTAAATACACATGTGTATGCATGTACATGAGCGTTGGTGAGTAGTGGTCATTTGTTTTAGAAAAATAGAAATTGCGAGCAAGCTTAAATGATTGAATTAAACTCTGAATTAGAGATATTTTAGAAGTCCAGTTACACAAAAAGGGGGACAACCTTAAGACTTGTTTTTTTAGACAGGAAAACAGTATGCCAAACTCCTGCACGGCGTTCCCACTTACGACATAAATACTTTTTCTATTCTTCATCTCAAACTAGGTGCATAAATAAATGCATCTTCGTCCCACATATTGAGAGGAACATGGTGAGCAAAAAGAAAGCGGAAATTAACAGACATTTTAACCATTTGAATAATAATGCAGCCCGACAGTGGAATGAAGTTTTAACATCTAACGACAACATAATTGCCTTCACCTGCCACAATTCTGCCCAGACAAATAGAAAATAACGAAATAATGATAACAAGTGAGGATAATAAATAATGAGTGGGATGCATCAAGTTGCTTCAAAATTGTTAACATTGTATTTCATTTTGCATTGTGTTCCGTTGTGTTGTGTCCGCTGCACTGCATTCCTTTTGTGTGCAGGACCATCAGAAGAAGAGCAAACAATCCGCAAAATAAAATAAAAACTTACAACTCACGCTGCCTCGAATAATGTCAGCGGTGGTGGAAATGGTGGTGTTGGAAATGGTGGGTGAGACCGAAGCGAATCTGCAAACATTTTAAAAACATTCCTCACAATGGAACCGCAGCCTCGAGAAAAGATGACGATCAACAGCGTCGACTTGGTTGCCCAGTGGGAAGGAATAGCAAAATGAGTCGAGAAGCGCAGTATGCAGGGCGTTCAATCAATGGCGATATTTTACACCGTGGCGCACTGACAGGACTGGCTGCGTTTCTCTTTCTTTTAATGATTCATATTAATCCTGCTACTTCATGATTATTTACTTTTGCAATTACGAGAGAAAGAGGAGGAGAAATGTAGTGAACAAAATGTTTCAAAAGTGACAGGACACAGCAGCCAAGCTCGTTTGTTCCCAACAATGAGGTCTCATTCTTAATTTACGCGAAATAAATAAAGCCCTGCACTACTTTTCACGTTACGTTATTGTTCGTTGTAAAGTGGAAAACAAATTTCTGTTACATGTCGACATATGTATTTATGTATGTAAGAGTTGGATGAGAAAAGGTCGTCTGGTATAAACCCGCTGTTCCATGATTTCATGAATTTTTTTGTTGCGTATTAATACGATTGTTATTATTTCGTGAGATCTTTCAAAAACAAGCAAGTGAACGAAGAACAGCAATTTCTGATAATCCATGTGACACAAGTCAGGAAATCTGTTGCATAGGCACTAAATTACTTTGCTAAATATAAAACCATAAATAAAATTTGCATGATTAATTATGTGAGATCCAACTTGTAATGCTAATATCCCATTGTGCTGATTATTTCCTATGTACAAGGAGGATACGCACATTGGATGGAAAGTGCGTGTACTTATTACGATCCTCATTGAAATGAAACTTTCTCTGTGTTCCTCCTCCTCCAAAACAATAAAACAATTGGAGACAAGAAGTCGTCCTTAATCGAGCGTTAAAAATGTGGACCATAAATTATGCTGGCACATACTCATTGTTGTACAATTATATTTATCTCTCATGCACGTGGGGTCTCCTCTTCCAGGTTTTGAATGGCAGGGTGTCTACAAAACTTTGTTAATTTGGACATGCATTACAACTCTAGTGTCAAACATGGGAATATGAATGAATTCAATGCATGCAAAAATCACAACATGAAAACTCCAATGTTGAGATTATTTCTGATAGTCACGTTTTAAATGTTTTTAGAGTATTGCTTAAATCTCATAATTTTAATTTCTACAGCATGTTTATTACCACATACTGCCGATAGTCTGTCTATTAATAGCAGTCATCTCACTTAAATTAAGCTTCACAATGCTCATTTCAGCGATATGAATATCGATGCCCAGACTGTTCCCTAACTCAAACTTTAATTCGGCAAATGGGGAAATTGAGAAATTTATATTTAGACTTTTGCTGCAAAATTTTATTTCGCCCCTCGCACCCTTCCTCGTCTCGTTTAATTTCTCACGCGGACTGGAGCAGACACGTGCCATTTTCTGGCATGCCTTTCTCAGTCCGGGTGGTCATCTCTCATCCTTCAGTTTTCTCCAGTCTTCCCTCCCAATGAGGACGACTGTGCGTGGGCCGTCGCCAGCCGTTCTGCTCCAGACTGTTCCGAATGGTCCGGATGGGTCATGGACGGAATTTTGAAACCAGTCTGGAATAGTACGGCTGGCGGCGGCCTTTCGTACATAGACGACACGAGCGAAGACGGCTTTCCAAGTTGGGTTTTTAGTTTGAAACTCCTTTGGAATGAGTTGGAAATTGCAACTCATCCCCGAGGAGTATCAAACTAATAGCCCTACGGTCAACTAGTGGACTGGAGACGAATCCCCCGAGTGGCAGGTTACCTACAATGAGGAAGACTGTGCATGGGCCGTTCCGGTCGGTTCCAATAAAGACTGTGTTTTAATTAGTCGTGATCACGGCATTTTGAAACCAGTCTTTATGGGGGCCTGCCCGACCGGCCTGTCGCGCATAGACAACGCAGGTGGAGGAAGACGGCTTTCCAAATCACTCCCCCCTTAACGCTGGACCTGGCTGCGCGCAGCTGCGGTGATTCAATTCCTTATTGAGTTCGCATTGATAACTAATTATGCTAATTTTTGATTTGTACAAATTATACTTTTTTTTTGTTTTATGAACTTTGAACAAAACTAAGCTGCATTTCATGTAATTGATCAATTTTTTTGCAGGAATCTGGCGTAATCTATTGCAACAATTGATATTGAAACGGACAAATTAAATCCTCTATTTTGGATTGGCGAAGAATACGTACTATATATATTTATTTGCAATATTTGTATTTTGTCGAAATGACTTGCATACATTTAATGATTTTATATTAACTGTACTTTGTATACAAATATTAACCAACAAAAAATTAAATATTGCTAATAATTCTTTATTATTTTTGTTTACTAGGACATTGATTTAATTTGTAGCCGACACAACACACGTTGAATGCTCAGTCAGTCACGAAGCATAACTGATTAGAACCTTTCATATCTCAATATTGTTTTACAATAATATATGCAAAGCTCACATACAATCATACGATGCACCAGTATCAAGCAATAGGAATTGTACTACCAAACCAATTCATTCAACACGGCACCCACCCTCGGAGAACCCGTTAGAACGCCATTAAACCAGACACGATCGTCATATATTTATTTCGAAAATTATAAAAATTATTTTTTGCCGATCAGTTCTTCATTGTCATCCTCGTGCATGTATAGTGAGAAAAACAACGTCGTTTTAAAACTATTGGGTTAAATTAGTCACGATTAGTTTCCTCAAAAGTTAACTGGAATTCAATTTATTTACATGCTTCTTAATTAGCATTATAGTTGAGATACAAACAAATATGGAACGACGTGTGTTAAATATTTTTAAATGCATTTATGTACATGCTACATACATATTCAATTCGTTCATGCGCCATAACTCAAGTCGTCCTTCGTTTCATTAAGTACACATTGTTTGGTTAGCAATAATTAAGCTATATAGTTTTTTAGCGTGCATTATGCAAATCGTCATTGTTGCTGGAATGCCATCCTCCCTCTGTTTTCAGATCCGGGACCCACGCCAGCCACCACCAACCACCAGCAGCAACCGTCTTTCACTGTGCGAGTCAGTGGTTCCCAGAAAAGCGAACTGCACGTGGCCTCGTCTTCGTCTTCTCCTCATCACCGTTCTTCGGTTTAGTCAGGTTTCCGGTTTTTCTTTTCTTTTAATTTGCATATGAAATTGGTTACAGTTTTTTAAAAACTAAATTACCGTTAAAAAGTTAAAGTTGTAGTGAGTATTTCTAGTCATTTTTAGTGGTCACTTAATTATTCGGTGTGAGGAGAACGGGTAAGAAATATTTATAAGCATTTCATTTGTTGTATTTTTTTTACTTCGTTTATTTATAAGCGTATTTTCTGGACATGGTAGATTTTCGAACAGGAGAGAAAACGGTGCTACAATGGCAGAAAAAGGGAGGAGAAACATGTCAGAAGCTGCAGGAAAAAGTGGAAACGGAAGTAAAAGTACGCCAGCCATGGAGGCGAATAAGGAATATGCGGCGATATATTTGGATAATTATATTGACTGCCTTCACGATCTGCCCAATGATATTCAGAGGAATATGAGCCGAATGCAGGAGCTGAACGTGGACTATGCAGGTAAGAAGGTTGCAAGGATAAGGTTTTTTATGTTTTTAAGATTATAATTTTAAATTGTCGGTTGTAAATATGTTTTAAGAATGCTGGACTCAAATGGGGGGCGTCATTAAGGATTTGCTTAATCAAATTGATAACCCGGGGAATGAACGCTCAGGCTCGAGAGATTTTATCAACGGTATCGGCACCCTGAACTCAATTATGGGAAAGATGAACGTGATGCATGTCCAGCAAGAGAAGCTACAAATTGCGGAGACAATCTTTGAAACCATTGAGAATAAAGCGAGACAGCTAAGCTTGGATAAGAAGAATTTGGATGAATCTGAGAAAGCGGTGATAGCAGGTAATTTATTTTTAAAGCCATTACATCACTTCGTGGATATTCTCTGTACTTATTACTTAATTAATAAGTCAATTTTAATACAGAAAATCAGCAGAAGGTCGCAACTGAGGTTTCAGCACCAGCTAATTCTTCCCAAAAAGTGAACGAAATGAAATCAGAGCGAGTTGTCAAGTCTGGAATTAAAAGACTTGGCAAAGGAAAGAAGGACTTATCTCCAATTAAGTTGCCATCAACCCCGAAACAACCGACTACTGTAAGCAAGCCTAGCTCTGGTAAGAAGAAGCCTCACGGGGGCGCTAGGTCGTCTGGATCTTCGGTGAACACCTCGCCCACTTCACAAGGGTTGGTGGTGAAATACCCTAAAGAATCTATTGCTATTCCACCGCCGTCCAAGCCCCCTCCAAAGAAAGTGGTGTCATTTGTTATCAAGAAGAAACGTGGATACGGTTTCGTGAAACGAAAAGGAGCAACCAAGAAATTTCAGCCTAAGGAAAACGCTAATATTCAGTGGCAGCAAATGCAGCAGCAGCAAATGACCGCTGATCAAACCGCCGAGATACCTGGGGCTGACATTGAGCCCCTTTACTGTCTTTGTAGCCAGGTATGTACTCTGACCATTTTTAGACTATTACTACTATTGCAATGTGTGGATTAATTCATTTAATTGGAGATTAGGTTTCTTACGGAGATATGATTTGTTGCGATAATGAACTCTGTCCAATAGAGTGGTTTCACTTTGGATGCGTTCAGCTAGCACGTAAGCCAAGAGGCAATTGGTATTGTCCTCGATGTCGTGATGGGAAAGCGACTTTGATGAAACAACGCTCTATTTTGATCAAAGAACTGGAAGCTTACAATCGCGAACGAGAAGCTGAAAGCAATGCGAAACAACCGGAATAACTTGTTAACTTGATATGTTGGTTGTTATCGATGAGGAATTCTTATTTCCATGTAGTTTTAGAATGTCGTAATTCTTTTGTCTGTATGCTACTAACTTTTAACAATTTGAATGTGATATTGTGTCACATGGTGCCTTACATTAAGTCAACTATGAAATACTGTTGTGATTCATTCCCGTACCAATACCATTAGCTATAAATACCATTGTGAATCTCCAAAGCCAGACTGGAATTTTAAACCACAAAAAATACAATATCAAATAGAATAGTAAGATCTAATAGTTAATATTTATGTGGTTGCTCAATATATTTTATTGTATATAATTTTGCTGTTATCAATTTGGATCAATACGCTTTAAAGGGAACCATACTGTAATGGAAACTATGAGTCATTGTACTGTGTGCTAGTTAAAAAAATTACGTGTTCTAGTGGGATCACAAAAAAGAGTTTTATTATTATTCATTAAGTTTTCTTATTTTGGAACAAGTTTTTAGCAATAGATAATCATTCCTATAATATGTAATTATTTAATTTATTGCTATGTATAGTACAAATAATAACTATTTTATCCTACTACAATTGTTGAAAAGACTTGAAAGAGTTAAAGACTTTAAAACACTCAGATTACATGGGAATCTTATCACTTTACATTTAGTACACAAATTGGTTTAATGTTCCTACTTACATATATATGTACAATAAAAGCGCTCAATACATCCATGGATGGAACTAGTAGTTTAAGAAAACCATAAAATCTGTAACCGATATTTTGGCATTGAAAAGTTATTTAGTGTAAACTGAATTTGATATCAAATGTTAACCTGTAACCTTTCTAATCTCAATAATAAACAAGTCTGATGTATATTATATTAATTATCCTCGTTTGATTTGCACTTTTATATCCTATAGTTTATAGACTTTATAAAATACCATCATATAATTTGACACGATTCTTGTACAAACTACTTTGCAAGGACAGTCTGGTTTGTAAATTTGGAGTGTTAGATTGTACCCAATATTTGCATATACAGTGAAACCATATACACACAAAATTCGACACTTTTTTAACGACTCTATTGTTCCAGTTTATGTCGTCTATAAAATTATGAAAAAGATTGACCGATTGGTTTGTGTGGAGGACTTTGCTCAAGAAGCGAAGCAAGTATTAGCAAAGAATGCCAAGGACTATTTCACATCCGGTGCGGACGATGAGATCACCGTGGTACAAAACACGGAAGCTTTCTCCAGGTAGAAAAAATACATCGTTATCAAATTTAATGAATTATTTTGGAAATTATTTTCGAATTTTGAAGGTTGCTGATTCGACCAAGAGTGCTGAGAGATGTATCGGTCAGAAATCTGTCAACTATGATCCTTGGAAAAAGTGTCAAAGTTCCGCTGGGCGTTTCTCCCTCAGCCTTCCAAGGACTGGCTCATTCCGACGGAGAATGTGGATCTGCTAAGGGTTTGATTCATTAATATGATTTTTCTCCAATATATTCAGTACCACATTAACATGGAACACAATCATTTTTCAGCCGTTGAAGCCATTGGGGGCATCTTCATTTTGAGCGTGTTTGCAACCAAGAGTTACGAAGAGATTGCAGCTGCTGCTCCAAACGTTAGGCGTTGGTTCCAATTTTACATGCATAAAGATCGGCAAGTAAAAGAGAAAGCAGGTGACGGACGGAGGTTGATAACAGATAAAATAATCTCGTAATATTGCAGATCCTTGACTCGTGGAATAATTAACCGAGCACAGAAAGCTGGGTTTGAAGCAATTGTGCTAACGCTGGATGCACAATCCGTGGGCAATAGACGAAGCAGTCGGAGAGATCCATTGGAGTTCCCGTCCCATTTAAAGTCGTACTCAGTTTTTTATCTACAGATGTCAATACCTGTTCAGTTGTCATTCAGTAAGTAATTTATAAAAATATAAATAGATTGCCCAACGCCACTCCGGATGCTGCACAGAAGGAATTGAAAATTTTTGAGCTTCATGACATAATGGATCACGGCGTTACTTGGGAGGCTGTATCTTGGTTGAAGAGGTGATGTGATTACAGTATCTGCAAATTCATTGGTTAAGCAATATAAATATTGTACTTATATTAATTAATTGTTCCGTAGCATATCCAATTTGCCGTTGGTTGTTAAAGGGATTCAGACAGTGGAGGATGCCATAATTGCTGTCAGTCACGGAGTCGATGCCATTTTTGTCAGTAATCATGGTGGACGACAAGTTGATACGGCCGTGCCAACTGTACAACATCATTCATAAAATGTTAGGCTTTCACTAAAAATTGAGAATATTATTCATTTTTACGTTACAGTGTGATATCCTACCAGAGATTGTGAGGACGGTGAAAGGCAAGTGCGAAATATACGTGGATGGTGGCGTCCGTCGTGGCACCGACATATTCAAGGCGTTGGCCCTTGGCGCAAACATGGTATGCAAAATATCCGCCACGTTAAACTTTCATGACCTTTATTTACTCTTTCGCAATGTGGTTTTAGGTCTTTGTGGGTCGACCAATCGTGTATGGCTTAGCTGTCGGTGGAACTGTGGGTGCCACAAAAGTTATGCACATTTTGAGGGATGAGCTCGACCTCACGATGGCTTTGTCAGGTGAGAATTATATTTAGTTGAAACAAGAAGAATAACAAAAAGCTTGACAAAGTTTGTACTCTTAGGAGTGTCCAATGTGTCAGAACTTACACCTTCTTATGTGAATCGGGTTCCTGGGCATTCACATTTATAATTCCGGTTATGTGAAATACAAAATTTTTGTATTTACGACAAGTAATTTTTTATGTAGAAGTTTAAATCTATTTCGAAATATAAATTTGTTATGTGAGAATTTGTAGTAAATATGTGTTACTAATTATTTATCAAGGAAATATGTAGAGGTAATGAATGATTATTGACAATTTGAACAGGAATCTTGTATTGTATACAGTCCAGAAAAGGTTATTTTAATTTTAAACAGTTTATCCCAATTGACGCAAGCACATCTTAAGCCATAATCCATCCCTATAATTTTGTAAGAATATTTCCAGAATTTTAACATCTCCGGTACTTGTTTATTGGGCCATCAAACGACTGCTCAAAAACAGAGATCATGGGTGTTTGAAAGGTCCAACTTAACTCATATACTAAAAAAGTATGTGAGTAACATCATTCACAAATATCCATATGCAATTGCAAAATATGCAACAAGGGCGATTTTCTGCTAGTGTAGGATAAACACTGTTGTTTTTAATTGTTCTATTTTCTATTAGCAGCTCAAGGTTAAACCTAATGGCGAATAGAACTGCATACATATATGTGCAATACAATTAGCGAGAATAAACGTCACATAATACAGTAACTTTCCATCAATATTTTAACAATATTTCAGTTCGCATCATTGAACTATGTGTGCGTTAGAGTACTAGTCACAATGTCCAGCAATTAACACGACACTGTTCAAATTTAAAACAAAACCTTGTTACGTACCGTTTCTGCTAAATTATGTTCTGATGAAAACTAGACATGTGCATAATATAAATACATACGTCCCAAAGCAGAATAATAAATCTCCGTTTCAGACGTCACATGAGCCCAGCCAGACGAAATTAACCCAATGGAATATTCATCCACTACAAAAACGTGTCTTCTTTCATGATAGTACGAAACCATAAATCAATTGTTTTACATCTCGAATTCACATATTCTTCTTTGGATTAAATCCTTATGCGGCTTACGATTTTTCATGTAGAGAGAGACATTTGATACACGGGAGGACACGCTGGGTTTCCACACTGGTGCTCTGTAACGTACTGAAAATGCATGCATGTATACACATTTTTGGTAAATATAGGGTGTCCAGGCTTAAGTTGGAATGAGAATCATGACCTGTGGAATTCGTCCTGTATAGAAAATTTTGATAAAACCTTTGGTACAGTGTAGGTGGCAATCATACCATTCAGTTTTTGTCGCGGAACATTTGTTACAACACTTTCTTGGCCACTATTCCAACTTTCTGCACCAACCCCCAAATTAGCGATTTTCCACCCGATTGCGAAATGTCTTGGCTGATTTTTTGTCATTAACGGTCGAATCCAATCAAGTTTTTCGCCTTGGAGCGAAGGTTAGATTATATTCTTTTGAATAAGGTTCAAATGTTTTCGATTTCTCGCAAATATGGACATTTCGAGGGTTTTCCGTTTTAAGGACACCTTTTCCAATGTTAACCGTGGCTTGAATAACTAATAGTTTTACAGGGAGTTAAGTTTCCATGAATAATTTCCGTTGATACTCTACACTCGCAGGGATGACTGAGTGAAGAAATGTGTTTTTCGAAGTCTTGGATGGATCAACTTTTTCGTAGTTCTCGTCACAAATGATGACAATTTCTATTGACATTTATCGACACAGTTTTTTGCAAAATTTCTGGAACTTCATTTTTTGGTCTTTGGTGTACTTTGGGGGACTTTGTTTATTTTTTTCTGTAATCCCCATTTTATGTACTTTAATGTTGCGAAACAAGCTTTTTGAAATTTTCAGTATCCGTGCAGAGCCATGACTTCACTGGGACACGTTTGTGCTGAAGGAATTTTAAATTACTTTCACTTTTGAATGGGTGGGTATGACAAGACGTGGCTTGGAATTTTTTTGAAATTGCGCTTTTTGCATCCATATACTTCGAAATATAAAGGTAGCTTCTTGTTTTGGAACATTCTTCGGTTTTGAAGGGTAGTCACGTTTAGTTCGAGTCACGTCGAGCGACGTTTTTCTGTATTTGAAAAAACTCGATTCGCGAGGTTTGTACTTTTACCCAGATTTCTATTGAATTTCACCATTTTTACAAAAACTGCTTTATACCTACTAGTTGCCCTTGAAATTGCGTCTCAAAAAAATAATATAGCTGGACAAAAATTTTCAGGAATTAGGCGGTATTATTTAATGTCGTCTTATCCAACTTAACCCTGGACACGCCTTATGTATGAGGCCGAATTAAAATTTGAAATCTCGACTTGACACTGCACGGGTGCTATTATTAGGAGATGCGAATCTCAATAATCGCAGCAATAATAAGAATAATAACAACGTTCGGCATTGTGGATCACGTTCTTTCTTCCCCATTCATGTATGTTCAGGAAGTAATTTCCAACATCCGAGAGAGAGAGAGACTGACCACGCAACAACAAATTCACATTTCATAAGGTGCCACGCCATAATCCTGTTAATGCCTCATTTCTCTTGCATTCAAGAGTTGATGCCTCCGTCATGAATTTTCATGGTTCGCCTCCTTATGCACCGATACTTCTATTTGAAATACGCTTCTATTTGTTGGCTGGGGGCTCTCGAATTTTATTTGCTCTCTGTTCTGCTCAAAACTCATCCCCATTGTTCAGATGTGTGCGAATTTAACGCCATATATTCATCCTCTTTCCGATCTAGAAATTTGAACGGAGTATTTTCTATAGTCAATAATATAATTGCTTCCCTTCCCCAAAACAATTTTTGATTTTACGAAGGACCGCATTATCCAATGACGGAACGGATGAACCTAGAAAATGGAACCGGAAGTGAGCATCTACCAATTAATTATTTTACCAAATTATTCTATCGTCTCATTTTTATCAACAAGTCTCATCTCACTGATTATTTCTTTTTCCTCTCTTATTTAGAAAAAGGATAACGTGAAGGCGTTAAAAAATTTATAGCTGATAATTCAAATTTTGAATAGCTTGTGATGAAATGATGAATAATAATCGCCCAGAATTTGACTCAAATGATAAAAACACTAGGTTGACTCTCATTCCATTGTTTTTATGAAAGATAAGAAGAATTAAGCATCTTTGATAAAGGTGTGGCACGCATCTAATATATTGAGTTAAACGAATGTGCGATTTTATCTTAAAAGGCACACTTTTCAACGCCGAGTCAACCTCCCATTTCGTCATCTATTTAGAACAGTGAAATTTGAAAGGAGAGAAAAAGCAATTAAATATGTATATGAGTTTCGAAAGCTTCCTGCCCTTTCGCATGGCAAACCCAACCAGACTATTTAGTCCACCTTGTTGCTTGTCCAGACCAGTCCAACTCCTTCGTATGTAATAAAAATTAAGATCAGCAAGGGATAATTATGGATACGATTCGTCATTAAAATATAATATATGGACACAACACTTTACCATTTCCAAGCTAATTTGTCATGGAATGTGTTTTATTTATTTGCCAAGAAATATAGACATATGTGCATCGTTCTTGAAGAGCTTGACGCTCTGATGAGCGTCAAGTTCATAAAGTCAGAGCGAAAAAACATTCTCCTTGGTGTGAGGATTACATAATTGGTGACACCGTGAGGTTGAGGTCGTCTGTGTTGAGGTTAAAATCTTAATTTAAAGCATTTCATTACACGAATCAGCAGAAATTTCGAGGATGCGATGCACCTTTGGAGGCTTGTGGTGGACGAGGAGAGACTAAAAATGAAATGAATTTGGTTGGAGACCGTGTCAATAATAATGACAACTTATCAACCTTCCATCTACACGAAGAAGTTGGTTTTGCAAGTAAATATAAAAGGAATGGGCGACGTAACAATTGCATCGCACCCAACTTTCTGATCGAGTTACAACCATCACAACAAGGACTACTGGCTTGCTTTTTTTATTAGTATTACAGATTTAATTGGCACACTTATTGCAGAAAAAGTGTGCATCGTGTGTATTTCTCTGAAATGACATTTTGATGCACTTATGCACATGTATGCACATGTATCTTCTTGAGGAACTTTCTGATTATAAAATTGTAAATGTAATTAAATTAAGCAGCATGAATTCTGTTTTTGCATCTTCGTGTGCACAATTTCTATTGGGTCAGAAAGATACTTAACAATAAATTCCACATATGTGAATAAGCTCATTTACCCTATGACATTATTTATATGACATTAATTCCTAAAAATAACTGGCTTCCAATCCTCTTTTAAACAGTAAAGTCAGATTCGCGTTTCAACTCTTCGTTGCAAGTTTGCACTTGAAAAGTTAAAATTATTGAAACCATGAGCATTGCTTTCTGGATTTGACCTAACACCCAGTTCATTTGCAAGCGTCTGTTTGCATGATTATGAACAGTGCTATTTTTGCAAAATACAGAGTATTGGACATGGACAGGAAGATCAAATATGTACTTATTTAATTACTGCACATCCTGTATGTCTACATAAATTTCATATCTGCAGAAATTGTTCGCCGTATTTTCGTAAATGGAAGATTATTCTACATTCTGTTTTAACAAAGAACTCAATAAGCTCATCTTCACTTTCACTCATGAACGAACGTAGCCAGCTTTTTTGCATGCGATGCAAAATATGCAAATGATCTCCAGTAGACTGAAGACGATGTCATGAGTGAAAGTAGTGTCCGTACTATTGAAACAAGTCAGTATTTAAGTATCACATAGTAATCTACATACATTCATTTAATTCTGTTGGAAATATTAATTTCATTTCTTGCCTTGTCTCAGACTCCGCAGGAGACACTTTTTGCGTTAATACCACTTTTTTTAGCTAACCAGTGGCCAATCTAAACCTATGTCAATAATGTTCAATAACTTATCCTACATCCTCCTTGTAAAGTAAAAAGGGTTGTTCTATAATTGTGTACTATATTGTATGAAAATTGTGTATGGGATCTTTTCAGTCCGTATTAAATGCCCAATGTGGGTACGATTTTCAATCAATGTTGGCAAAATACGGTAAAATTACCTGCGTTACATATGCACAATTACCATCCAGACCATTTAAGGTTTGATTTTTTTTTCAGAAATAAATCTGTCTACCGAGAACGGACTACATTTTCTTAGCCCGTTTCTGACAAGAGTTGAAAACAAAGCAGGAAATAAACCTGTGAACCATATAATTTAGTCTGTTTTCCAATATGTAAAGTTCTCGAAACTTAACCAAGAACAATGTCCCGACCTGTGAATCATTATTTATAAATCGTTCATTGAATACTCCATTACTTGAACGGAGAAAGAATATTAAAGCACCCAATTCACTCCTCGAAACAAAGTGTTTATTGAGCAGGCAGCCCGTGAAGAACGGTACTCTCTGCATTTTTTGTGCAATTAACCATCTCAAGTACAGAAGTGGACTAAAGTGTACCGTTCCTCAATTTCCATTTAATTTGAATCAGTCAACAACGTGAATGTGCAGATAGCTATTTACCACCTCTGCCACAAAGATGAAGCAGTAACGAAGATGAATGAATGCGCGTTGCTCCTCAGTTAGCACTAAATTACTCACAAAACAAACTATTCAGTGATGATGCACTAGCAAAACATTTGGTCCGGTGCAACTGAACACTTTGTTCCAAGTAAATCTCTCAAAAAAAATCTAAATGTCAGTTTAACACGAAATTAAGTACAGATTTATTCCCACTTGTTTACAAAAAGGACAAATTGGTGAAAATGCCGGTTGGTTGTTTTGATCACGAAATATAAATTTCTTTCATTTACTTAAATGTTCAATTGCAATAAGTGCTTAAATTAATGTGCGTGAAATAGCTTATTTTTCTTCTACCTTAAACTTTGAGGTCCCCCCAAAAAAACGGAATCCTTATGGTAATATTTACCTTCTTGTGCAACAATGGATATAATATTATGCGAAATGAATTACCTTTTTTTGTGTCAATACAGCAAAAAAATCAAATCATAGTAATTTAGCCGTTTTTCGATTTACAACTGAACCCAAGGGACTGCAAAGTCATCAAAGTACAGCATTTACAAGTATTCAGACAATCGCATCGTTCTTTTTTTTTACTACTGAAATTTATTTATTTTATACAATTCACATATACTCAAATTATCCCAGAGTACACTGTTGATGAATTAGGCAGAATTTTGCATTTATATTGAAAAGGAGAGGTATATTGTAGGTTGAGGTGAAGGGACAAGTTTGACAATGAGACACTTAATATCATCGTTGTGCAATGTATTATCATCGTTGCATGAAATTATTTGTGAATTGCAGGCAGATCGCTTCTCTGCGAGTTCAGTTGCAAACAGTGTTTCGCTGGGGGTGAAGCAAATTGTCTCACTTGCTGTTTCCATTGTTGTGCTTCTACTGATTATGAGGCAGATATGTAGATACAGCCACAAAATATCACCCACGACATACACATAACACGTATTTGTGTGCCGTCTCACCCGTTGGTTTAGTGTAATTATATTGTTTTACTACTATTGTTCAGCTGTATGGGATTAATTACTATCGAGAGAGTAATTGTCATCAGGAGCGTGGAACAATGGTAATAACCACGCATCAAATTGGTCTCCCCAGGTGAGTGAGTGAGACGGAGAGGGAATGATAGACAGGCCTCTGGGTTGAGACTTTATTGATCCTAATATGCAATTAATGCGATGTGATGTGATGTGATGTTTGGTGAGAACGGTAGTCAGTTATTAATTTAGGACTAATTACCAACCAGTTTATAAATACTTGGCGTTACTAGAGAATCTAATTTTAAAAGTGCGAAAGTATGTCGCTAGAAAATCCAAAGTTTCAGAGTGATCCATTTTGTTCTATATGACAACATATGTAAAATGGTACCAGTTTCATGAAAAATCTCTCGCTTAACCAGCCTGCTTGACATGTGTGACCCATTGTATCAAAAAATTTCTTTTGGACGCTAGGAAAGTTGGACGTATTACGAAAACAAAGGTTTTTATGCATAACCATTAATTAGATAATATTTCGTGGTTTCTGAACAAGCAGAACTACGTACGTACCTACGTAATACCAATGAAACAATGGTTTTTAAACTAAATTTCTATTAAGATAAGTATAAAATAAAATGATGAGTCAATTAAAAGCGGAAGAAAGCAGGGAATTAAAGTTGATGAACTTGACATTGCATTCTGTTGCACATTCTTTATTGCTGAGCACATGAGCTGCGTCTCGGGCTCATTCTTTCCTAATTAAGATTTCTTCTGCTGCTGCACACCACCACACCACTGAAGATGAGTTAACTCAACCCTTTGAGCCATGTTAAGTAAAAAGTTAGTTAACAAAGTTCTTAGTTAAAATGCTCAACACGAGTGCAAATTGCAGCAGTAGTCGGTGTATGTCCGCCCTCGCCACTTCATGGGGATTGATGCTGCTGCCTGCACTGAATTTTACAATTTAATCATCTGCCCCAACTAAAGTAGAAACTTTACTAAAACACTAATTGAACATGTTTTTTCGCAGCATTAAATTCGACCCTTTTGTGCAATATTTAATTCTAGTTTGAACTATTTTAATTAAACATTTATCAGTGATTTAGTGACGTCCGGTGTGTGTAGAATCTCAAAATAGAAAAAAACTACGAGTGTGTAGTCAATCCGATTTAGATTGAGGTTTCTTCACTTTTTGAGACGATGGACGCCCATCCCATAAAAATGTTGGGGTTGTGAGTTTGGTTATCGGAATCAAAGCGTAAAATAAAGCCGTGGTTCCGTACCATGCGCCACATTATTAGTGGTCTCTTCTGCCTCCCATAACATTTACTAATGATGGTGAGAAGACAATAAAACATTTTAATGTGTGTGTGGTGTGTGTGAGTGTGTGCAAGTTTGTGTGTGGAACATGGATTGAGACGTGTTATTCGAAAGAAATATTTATTACGAGATAAACTCAAGTGAGTCGTGGACATTCATCTTTATCTGGCACATCATCATCAGATTACTATAGCACGAAGATAGGTAAATCATCCTCAATTACGCCCATGACCGACCATTCCTTTAACTTATGAAAGAAAGCTGTTAATAAAACCAACAATTTTACAAGAAGAAGAAGAAGACTCCATGATCTGACTCAACTGACCACTTACTCAGCATTATTCGTTCCAAAATTTGTCCTCAATCAGGATTTAATTGAAGAAGGGCGAGTTCCTCACTCACTCATCATACAAACTCGGCACAAATTGAGTAAGTAAAATAAAATCATACATGTTTTCGCATGGGTTGAGTACGTACGAGGAAAAAACCATGGACGACTTATCAATTATAAGTAACGACACTGAATAAAAGTCATAAATAAGCATGTGTAGAATATTGAGACGAGGTCATCTAAAAAAATTGACTCCCTCCTGTTATCTGCATGTGCAAATTCAAGCAGGGAATTCCGTCCTGTAAAATTTACAAAATATATTTAGACTATTCCTCCACGGCTAAAGTTCATTGCTTTATTGTAGTGCTAATAGCACCACTTATTCCACTGCGACAACCACCTAAACGCTGTGATGATGGAATGGAAGCCCCACTGTATATACAATTTTGTCACATAGTTTTGGCAGTTTTTTTATAACTCCTCTTCAGATGAGAGAGAGGAGGCCGAATGAATGTAAACTTGATCCAAGTTTAAGCTTCTGCTCTATCAAACAGCAGACTACATCACTTTTGTCACTAATTTGACACACCACCACCTACCCAGAGGCAATGGCTTTGATTGAATGCATTTATTTTGCATCTATCTCAACTCATTTTTTTCCTCCTCTGAAAAAGAGTTCGTGTTGGTTGGAAGGCTGATGCGTCTCACTGGGAGTGCAAGAGTGCAAATTTTCCGGTGTGGCGTGATGTTGAGTGTGACAAAACGGAACGGAATTCGTAAAATAGAGTCAAATCAAACCAACAAAAAATAAATTCTGATAGTCGTGAGACTGGAAACTGTGAGCCCCTTGTTCATCCTGCAGACTTGCTCTGCTTATAGGATGAACAATGACGAGAAAGGATGGCATTTTTCAATTACTTATCTCCCCAGCTACATTTACCCATAGAAATATCTCGCCTCAACTGTTGAACAACTCCTAAGCGATCATAAACACATTATTTCATCATTTCATAACAATCTTTCGTTAGAAATTCATTTAACTTGGGCAGGTAGCTAGTAGACCGTAGGATTTGCAGTTATCAGCCAACTCTGGTATGAAAGCAGGCTGTGTACGTATCGCACAAAAGGTCAACTCTGACATGGCTTTATGTAATCTCAATATTTTTGCAAGAATACAAATTTCTCTGAACTGCGATCTGGATTTGATTGACCTGCAACTGACAGGCCCACTACTGCGCAATCTATGCTTAAGTAATAATATATGCATATGTATCCTCCTCTGCCGTTCCACACGTCGTAAAGTGTCAATCACTACAAAAATTGAAAACTTTCATTTATTGGGACATGCATGATGTGGCCGTGACTGGTAGTTAAAGTTGGATGTGAGACGCTAAATAATCCATATTGTGTTTGTATAACCAAGTCAGCCTTTAATATAAATTAATTAAATTTTGTTTTCAATATTGTCGTTTTCGATCCATATTCCACCAATAAATTCTAGATTTAGTATAAGTGCATTGAAGTACAAATTCTAGGCTGAGCTAATGTCACCCGAAACCACGACTGTGGTAGGAAACCGCAAAATCTGGGGATTCGTCTGACATATTCGTAATAAGTCTTGACACGGCTGAATACAATTTGAGTCTTGCTAAATTTTAATTATTTTCTGGCCTTCTGTAACCGGAAGATAAGTTCGTGGAGTGGAGTGCTTTAATTTATCTGACAAGTCGGCGCACAAATTATTTCTCTCAATATGAACCGAAGCTTTTAGATTTTAAGGAATTATGCCGTAACCACTTCACTTGGTTAAGGACATACACACACATGTGTGCATAATCGAGTATATAATCGAATCAAATGGCGAGCCCGGAGTCCGCAAAATGTCGATTTTCCTCTCAAACGAGCCATTGAAGAGGAACGACACAGTTTTGGTGTTATTAAATCTAGCAGCATTTCTCGCCTGCATTTCATCCACTTAAACCCCGACATTGTCCTGTGTAATTACAATATTCGCGTTTTTTCTTCTCTTTCGTCTAGGAAGTACAACGCTTGAAGATGGGCTGGGCACCGTATAATTAGAGATTTTTTTGAACCATGGTATTCATGTACAGTTGTTTTGGTACTTGGTCATCATCATCTCTGTGCAAAATAATTGTCTGTTTAGAATTTTATCCCAGAGAACGTGTTCACAGTGACAGGGAGGAATTATCATTGTCCGACCCCTTCTTCGAATTACACTGCACAGGCGAATTATTCATAGCTTAGCTGGATTTCGGTTATGGAAGACGAAACCAATCTGAAATATGATCCAGAGTGAAATGTAAACATTTCGAGACTGCCCATACAATTTGATTCTTTGGATACGTATAATAAATCCGCTTAAGTCCCATGTTTATTCTGGAAGGAATTATATGCATACGTATCAGAGGATTGGGCAATAAGTATTTTAAGCAAATAGTATTTTACATTTGGAACGTTGCGCTTTCTTCATCCGATTCTATGGACATATTTCAAACTGCAGATCTGTCTGATCATCATATCGCAAATCTATGGTTTGGTTTTGCATAGAAATTTGCGTAGCATAAGAAAAGCACGTTCTGTGCTAGAAGATGCTGCTTTAAAGATTTGCGTTGCCTCATCTCATCTGAATCCCTGTCATCAAAAGCAAGAGAGAGAGAGCTTCTGCTAATGCTGGTCGCCTTTCCACATGATGAAACTCATTAGGCCCCGGTTGTTGTGAGGAGGACCTCGTCGTCGTCGTCGTCGTCGTCGAATGGCGTGTTTATCCGTATGTAAAGCAAATGGGTGGTCGTCGGAGAGGAGATTATTTCATTTCAACCCATCGCATTATCTTATTGGATTTGTGCTTAATGGAAATATATGTTCTCATATATCACCCGCTACTTCCTGCCTGCCTTACTTTTGCACACCCACGAATTTCTGCGAAGCTCTGGTAAGGGCCGGCTTCCTTCTTCCTTAAATTCTTCTAATAGGATGGCCAGCCAGCCAGAGCAAAGACTGGAGCGAAAAACGACTACTGGCCTCAGCACACGCTATTTTCTGACACTTATTTATTTATGGCTGAAGCCATTCCACAAAATAAAACCAAATACACCAATGCACTTTCATGTAATAAAATACCCATGAACATGAAGTGGCGGTGGGCCGTGGGTTTGCTTTGGTTGCGTGGTTGGATTAGATTTCTCCACTCACTGCGTCCGTCCGACACGTAATAAAAACTGAGAGAGGAGCGGATTCTAACCAACTTTAGAATATGATGCGTATAAAATCAAAGTAAAAATGCGAGACAGGCACAAAACTCGAATAAAATGGGAGGTTCCCCCCACCCAGGAGGAATTTAAATTCGGCTCAATTCCCCATTAAGTAAACCTTGTCTAAAGTATTTTACTACTACTGCTGTTTTTGGGAATTTTCGCCAAAGACGCAACCAACAGCAATAAGTATATATTTTTTCGGGAAAGCTTTCGCAGAATTTCAAGTAATCCTCCCACCACGACCGAGAGACACGCTTTCATTTCATCGCTTCATCACACACAAGGAAGGAAAAAGAGAAATAGAAAAATATACACTTTTATTGAACTCAACTTTGTGACGTGTGTTTGGGGACGCACTCGTCCATTTCCACTGCGGTTACTCGTCGTTATGGCGCTAATATGGGTTCCGGCTGCTAAAAATGATAAATATTTTAAGTATTCAGGCAGTACTTATCATGTCGGAAATGGTCAGCTCCCACCTCCTCCTCCCCAGAATGTATGCATACCCAGGAGTTCACCTCATTCATTGTTATTGGTTTTGGTGGGTTCGACTTGTGTGTATATTTCATGCTGGTGGGTTCAAGACACCCGACATGTGATACTTCACGCTGCACATTCTTCCCGTGTCGTCCAAAGGCAAAGAAATTAAATTGAATAGGAGGAGAAAGTGTCCAAATTGAGTCGTATGTTAGCCTAGCATGCTTTCTTATTTGTGCGACATAAGTATGTATAGTCAGTCAGAGAGAATGGGAATGATTGGTGGGTGGACACATGACCTGGCAGTTGTGTAAGCAGCAATTTTCCTATGTACTCACTCTCTCCATTGAAGTTGATACTGATTAGTCGAATGTTTGGAAGAGCGACCCTTTTGTTTTATGTATCTCTCCAGCACGAGTCCGTGAAAATGGCAGTTTTCCTACCCAATTTGATCCCACACAAATATGTGTGCTTTCAGCAATGGCTACAAACGGAAAGAGTTGTGTTACACAATAAGGCGTAGTTAGAGCTTCTTTGTTTGTTGGCAGAATATGTGCATTGAGATGAAATGCTACGTATGTATGACGCCATATATTTATGGGTGCAAGTAACGCATATAAAAGAACTGGTACGTATATAGATATTAGTATCATGGACATTGAATGATTTATTGTTTTTTACGGTTCAGGAAGAATAACGGCTTTCTGGGAAAATGGATAAATTTGGGTATTGAATTTTTATCACGAGATTAATTGAATCTTGCATGATAAACAAATACTTAGGTACACATACACGTGCATAATCTTCCCCTTGCGATTTGATGGGGACAATCAAGCGGTAAACTGTGTATCTCATTACTTAAGACGATAAGTAGTCAAGTGGTTGGCGTTGGTTTGTCGAGCTTCCCTTGGACACATGCCATCATGATGTGAATCTCAATCCGGAAAAATAAAAGTCTTCCGCAGGAAGGTTTTTTGCTTCACGCTCTGTGCACCACTGATTTTCTGTCAAACTTGGTCGGTTGAGTTTTTGCACTTTTCGTTTTTTCCCTTCTTTTGTTAAAACTTGATTCGTCAGTCTCTTTTAAAACGGGGAGAAAAATAATGATATTTCTTCCGGTCTCTCCTGATGGGTGTGCATTACAAGGATCGTTTACCATTCAATTTTATTTTACCGTCTATTTAAAAATGCATATATCTAACTTATCTCGACGCCATTATGACCAACACTTGAACTTTTTCGCCCATTTTTCATCCATGTCTTCGTCATATTCGTGTCTTGTTACGGTTTATGTGTGTGCATATTGTACCCTTTTTTACCATGCAACTTCTCCCATGAAAATTTTT